TCTCCAAACACAGCCCTCTAAGAATTTTTTTTCCCATTTTCCTAATGCGTTTGAGATATTCATGCGTTGCAATTCCGTACTTACTCGTTTTTTGTTTAATTTTTATTTTTTTAACTAAACATAGAAATGCCAAAAAGATTTATACCAATGCTTCAAGGACGGAAACGACGGAAAGATATGTTCAGCTAATTACAAAGCATGTATGGAGGCACTGATACCGGCATATGTGGTGAGAAAAGGACAAGTATAATTTATGATTTAAATTTTGCTGCTTCTGTCGTCGTGTCTTAGTGATAAAATAAAATAAAGATATCAGCCATGGTATATAATGAGATTAAACACGAAACTCTCGAAGCTAAAAGTAGTAAAAATATATAAAGGACAGAGAGAAGAATTGAGATTAAGATATTGGTTTAGGCCTGTCCCTATTGTGCATGCTCTTTAAATGCTGGAAAGTTGCTTTATTTGCGTTCAAAGGTCTATACAAATTCAAGAAAGTTGCATAAATTGAAGTTCTCTATGAAATTATTAACTTTCGTGCTTGATATGCTCTTTAAACCTATGTGGCAAATTGAAAATTATCTACTATCTGTGTTGAGATAGCGAACTAAGAAAAGTTCAATTTTTATTCGTTTTATATCACTCGTGTTATTGCTGAGTTTTTTTTCTTACGATTTGAATCTACAGAAAAAGTGCTATGCCGAGGCTAAGGAGTGTTTTGGCGATGCTCAGTCTCTTAAAGAAAAGTTCAACTGCGCTAAACAACTCGGAAAATGTCTCCAAAATGGTGCACCAACTACTTCTCCACCATTACCAACCGAAAAATGATTTGAATTGTGCTGGACATAACTGGAAGTAGATGTACTTAATTAGAGTACAAATATAAGAACATGAGAAATGTGAAGTTGGTTTGTTGTTGAATTTTCTTAGATTGTTTTTGAACCGTATTGCTCCCCACTGCAAACATTTAAGATTTGCAAAGTCTCATAACACCACACATTTATGAACATTTTTGTGCCACTAAATATCGCGAGCGACGTAAGCGATATGGGCGATGGTTGAAAATGTCGTTCCGCCATGTTCTTCCAAGCTTTATCACATAGTTCGACGTTACCGCATGGAAAGTATCTTTTCTATGATCTGCCGAGGTTTAAGTATATATCGCCCATGGTCTCAGAAGTCACTCACCAATTCGTCCCAACATCTGAATTTGCAGGGAGACATTGGGGGTTCTGAAAATCGGAAAACCAATAAAACAGCGCCAACTTAAATAGGATTCTTTGTAATCCTAATGAAAATAACGCTGACGAGACTACAAAAACATAATTAGATAATAATAAAGACGGAGACACTCACGTTCAATAATTGAGTACGACACCATGATAGTAGCAATGTTTGCAACGATAAAAACATTGTAAAATTAACTTCAAATTTAATGAGCATGGATGTCTGCCATCTAAGACCACAATAACTTTCGACGTGCGCAGCGGACCACCGATACAGTTGTCAAAAAGAAACAGCGTGGATGTGAACGTCCTTTACTTTGCAATCTGTTACCATTTCGCTTCATGAAAACCAGGAATGCCTTTTCGAGATGTCGGGTTAATATCGAAGTCACTATCGTTTGGATCAAATTAATTTTCCCTTTGAGACTTCCAAGAACAAAAATTGGACGGAAGAAGCGATTGAAAATCAAAAGTGATTGACAAGCGCATGAGAAGGCCATATAATCATGACATAACATTTGCTTGAAATAACTGCAGATGATTCTTCGGTGGGAATGGCGAGATACTCTCTCCCATTAATAACCCAAAACAACATAATTGTGACGAGAAGTATTTCTCGATAAACTGGGATGACATTTTTTTTTTATTTTATATCAGCGATCAGACCGAGCATGAGTTTCTTTTTCGATGACAATTCGTTTTAAAGATGAACTCATCACTACCCATTTCTGCAGGAGCTGAAGTAACCTCTAAACGTTTCACAAAAGGAAAACAGCTTTTCATTGTAATCACACTCGCGCCCAATGATAAAATATCTGCTATCTGTCATAAAGATAAAAATAAAGATGGATCTTGATTTTAAAAGCTACAATATTTTTTATTTGAATATAGTATGCTGTTGGCTGTTATGCTAACATAATGCTCCACCTAAAGTTCACATATTAATTCAGTTATCTAACAAAAGACGTTTTGGGAAGCTCTATTTTATGTGATTATAACTATAACTCATCTCCCATTCGACATTCAAAATTATGGGGCTTCAAAAAACCGGTCTTGGATAAAATAATTCCACGTAGGTAGGAGATGCAAACAACAATGATTGTCAACAATTCCAAATGAGCAGGATGAAACAATTAGTTATAGAAGTGATAAGTATCGGATTACAAAGATCATAAAAGGCATAAATGCAACAATGGAAGTAGAACTACCCTAACTGCGCTAACCTTTGTTGGATTTCACAGTTTCATTCTTAAGAATGCTTATCAGCCAAACAGATGCACAATTACACCTGTGCGAAGGTAAACTGTTGGTGAATAATAATACAAAGAGGGCTGAAGTAAAGAGTGATTGATGAGCAAATAACACAGATTTTAGTTCTGGTTGATTTGTTTAGTATGTATGTTAACTTTGCACTATAGATAGGCGAAGTAGTTATTCATGGAAGCTCGTGAAAGCGATATATACATAAATTTTTTTTCTCTCTTTTTCGGTACGTATCATTTTCTCTTAGTATTAAGAAAAGGAAGAGGAAGCACCAAGCGTTCTATTTCGTGAAAAAAGGACGGGAGGAAGAAAAGAGAAAATAAATTCAAAGAAAATCGCAATTTTAGTCAGAACAAACGTTCTCACTCAGATTCTTTTGTCTCTATTTAACACCAACACTCAAATAAAAGATTAAACAGCTGCAGATATCCTCTTTTACAAAGTAACACCTCTTTGACTCCACAAACGCTAACCTTTTATGCTGTAAAGAAATCTCAATAAACTTTGAATCTGCCCGGTGTCTTTAAAAGCAATCACCCAGAGGTAAAAAAGCACATTTATCTCAGGAAACGAAGTCACTTCAACATGAAGTTTTTCCTCACTGTTTCACTTATTGTGGCCTTCATGGCTATGGTTTGTGCTGATGAACTAAACGACGAAAAAGGAGCATTCACGGTGAGCACTTTTTTTTCTTTTGTGAGACAGCTTTTGGTGTGAGCTACTTTCCAATGTATGAAGCAGGAAATTTGGTACCTCGAGGGCCCTATCAAATCGTGAACTCTGAAGAATTCTTTAAATAAAGTTTCTTTTTATATCGGATTCTGGACTTTCTTAACTCTCATCCTTGTTTATTTATACAATTGCAAATCGAAATATTATTAGCTCTACCTTATGAAATTCTTTTCTCCCCGCAACCACAATGGAAACGTCAGAAAGAAAAACTAATGTTTTGGTGCGAAACATCTAACAATGCATTTTAAGATGCTCTGAGATACACATCTTTTTTGCATTATTGTTATAGCAATGCCACAAAGATCTCTACAGCTGCTACAAACAGGAAACCAACACCGCAAAGGAATGCTTGGTGAAATACAAAGATTGTATGGCCGCGCTTATACCTACTATGCCTTACTTTATGGTAAGCTCTACGTTAATACGTCATTTTTGTTTAGTTTCCTTTTTTTCGTCATTTGTGATTTTCTTTCATTTATTTGTGTTGATTTCAGACAGTGTAATCGAGCACAAGTTTCAGTTGAAACCCCTCCTCCCCCCCACTCCCCCGCTTTTTTTGTTGTTTTCTTTCTTTCTAACCCTAAGCAAGAATCTCGGAAATTAAATGCATTCGCCACTTACTCTAATCTAATTTAGCTTGAGGATTAACGATATTTCTCATTTGCAGGCTGGATATCCTTTGTCAGCCGGGTTGAACTAAAATGAATGAACTTTCCAAGAAAGTTCACCCATCTTTCACTTAAATAATAGATAAGCGTTTTAGAGTTTGCGCTCGTTTTGTTTAAGTTGAAGTGATATATATTGGTTTGCTATTAGCCTGAATGTAACATTCGTAGATTGCAGATTTTTTTAAATTGAAATTTCATCCTTTATGTCACACACAAAAAGTGTTTAAGCACACCATGCAAACCTGGCAATTTTCAGCCTTAATTTTTGTCGGATTTTATCTTTTTTTGTTTGCAGACCTTATGTAAAAAAGACCTGACCTTTTGCACAAGCCATGCACAAGGCATAAAAGCGAAGGCTGACTGTTATATTGAATACGGCAAATGTTTAAAGAATGGAGGTCCTACCCCTGTCACCTATTCCCCTTCCCACCATGCAATGGACGACAGCAGTACCGGTCAGTTTACGGTACGTTCGCACACGTGAGCCTTTTGCAATTGAGATGAAAAATTCAAATATTTCGCTTCATTACTTCTTTACAAAGTTATTAACTATGTAGAGGAAGGTGTTTTTCTGCTTTGTCAAGAGCATGAGAGATCGGAAAGAAGTTTCCCTCCGATGTTTGTTACTTGAAAACTGCTTTCGCTACCCACATGTATATTGTATAAATAAACATCGTTTCCTAAAATCACTTTTGCCTCAGGATTGTCATAAAGAACTGTATAACTGCTACAAAGCTGAAAACAGCAGCGCAAAGGAATGTTTGATCAAATACAAAGACTGCATGGCAGCTCTAGTCCCTACAATGCCGTATTATGTGGTAAGAATAACTATCATTATCTGATTGTTCTGAGTAGAGTACAAATAACGCGCGAACCGAAAACAAATACCTGCGTTATTGGACAGTTGGTTATTTTGTACCGTAAAAAAAAACTTTTTAATCAAACGACTGCGTGCGCTACACTCCTCTGCCTGCTTCGTTTTTCCATCTTCATTAGATAAGCGTATGAGAAATGTGTATGAACAAAGCAATTAAAAAATAAATAACATGTTAGACAATTTGATGTGTAGTATTGCTGAGTATTTTCACTCGTAGTTTGTATTTTGACCTGCTTTGCGGGCTCGCCAAAATACGGCAGCACTCGTAAAAATACTTAGCGATACATACCAAAACGTCCAATAAGATATATTTCTCTTTCGCCCAAACCATATCCCGCCATTATATATATTTCTCCTTCGTACAAGTATTTAATGACACAAGGTTTCGTTCGCAATGATTACGTAGTTATAGCGTTCTCTAACTAAGTATAAGTTTTCAGTTATTGTCTTTGTGCAAGGAAAACTGATATCCAAAAATAGACACCTTGGTAACTAGAGAAAATTGTCCTCAATTATTAATAGATTAATCTAATTACATATTATATTAATCCCTTGTTCTCAGACTCTGTGTAACAAAGACCTAAGTTGGTGTGTTAGCCACGCTAACGGAATTAAAGCACAAGCTGTCTGTTTCTATGACTACGGCAAATGTTTGAAGGATGGGGGACCTACTCCTGTGACTTATGCCCCTGAGAAACGTATGCCTCCAACTCTGGCTCCAACTCATGGTCCATTGGCGGTAGGAATCACTAATCACACATCCACAGTGGTTTTAGTTTCTTCTTTTTGTTCAAGATTGATGTTTAAAAGTTAGAACCTGTAAACATGGTTATATATGCTATTAGTCGTATTGAGCGTATCAAGGTGGTACAGAATTGGTAAATAAAGTCCCTCGCCCCATTCAAAGCAGTTTTTGTTTTATTTAATAATCCGGTTTCCTTGCAGCAATGCCAAATCGACCTGTATAACTGTAATAACAACCCAGATAAGACTGTTATGGAATGTCTGGTAGACTACAAGGATTGCATGGCTCAGCTCATTCCACCCTATGTGGTAAATATCTTTTAAGTGATTATTTGTGTACGAGGTAGAAAGCAGGGTGTAATGCCTTTAAGCACGTGAAAGAAGTCTCAACTTTCATCAATGGTATAAGCAAGAGAAGTGAGCTCTTGAGAGTCGGAACCAAAGTTGTGCTCTAATTACCCATTGCTCAACATTATCCTATTCTGAATTTTCTTTTAGGCAACATGCAAGAAAGAGGCCGATAAATGTTACGAAAATGCCACAGGGCTTAAGGACAAAGCAAAGTGTGCCATTGACTTCAGTGTGTGTTTGTCAAATGGTGGGCCAACACAGGCTGCCTAAGAATTTATTGTTGTATTCTCGGTATGTAACGTATTTGTCAAAACCTGAACAAATAAAGACTCTTCAAAACCGACTTCAGTTGCGGTTTGATTTCGCTCACCTGCGCGAATCTCGTGCGCTCAGCCGCTTGTGCTGCAGCGCAGATTAGAGCTCACTAGCAGGCATCTTTCGGGATCTGGAAATATGTCCAGGACAAAAATTTGTTTCCCACATTCTAAGTAAAAATGAGATCGTGTGGAGGAAAATATGTAAATATCCCAAACTTTTCATTTGACTGCGCCATCATCGACCCTTGAGTATACATGCTTTACATACTCATGGTTAAGGTTTTGCACGATAAAATACAGAGTTCGAAAAAAAATGGAATATATGATACAATAAAGAAACCTTTTATTCGCTCAAAATTGGATTGTTACAACCGTTTGATTAGCTCCATGCTTTTAACGCAATTGTCTGTGCAGCGGCCCTGCGATGTTTTCAATAAGATTAATCAATTTTAGCATTTAAGGCGTATACATCTGTATATTCTTATTATCCCATATTTAATTAGAAACAAACAAATGCGTGGCGTATCTATACATCTTTTGAATCCATTTACTGAAACAACTCTTTCAGTATAATGAGACAGAGACACTTGTGATTATATTAGCTGACATTGCAACTTACTCCCTCACACATGACTATGAAGCCCTGCCTACATGCATTTGAATCTTAGTGTCGTTGAAAGGTAAAACAAATCAGGGTCACAGTTTCGTTTCCCAGAGTTCTGTTTATCCATGTTATATTATGCGGTTCAGGGAAAGAAGGCCCTTTTCACCCGTTGACCCTTTTAAACTTTTGAACAAATTTAAATGATTTTCCTCTACGAGGCTAAACGCGCTAGAACAAAGCTTTTTCATTCCTAGTGACTCATCATGTCCATCCCGTGATGAAGGTCTGAGAGAACACGTTTCCCCTTTCCCGTAATTCGTTTTCCTAAATTTTTGTCGGAATTTTGCTACTGTATATTTTCTGCATTTTTCAATTGACTAACATCTGTTTCACACTGAGAAAAATTGCATTACGGTTGTTCAAGTTTACATTCTATCCGATGATGCTCCATATAATTTTCTTAATCTAACCTAATGTGATTAAATTGCTGCAGCTATCCATTAGCTTTAGCTTTCTTTATCATTCTATGAGAGAGATTTAACCTTTCTTTTGATGATTCTGACAATACAGCACTCATTTCCATTAACATCTGGGTATCCTTTGTCGTTGTAGCTTTCCAATGCTGCACACACATCCTGCCAGCGGTCATTGAATTGTTGCAGTTCTCCTTTGACGGCTTTCTGTGAAGGTCCGTCAAGAATTTCACATACGTCTTTTCCAAGCCGGTTGACACGATCTACTTTGACTTGCATAGCTGTCTTTTCCTCTAGTTTAATCTAGAACGAAGAAGAAAGGTAAATATCGGAAAAATAATAGTGAAAGAAAAAATGATGATATTAATAATTAAAGCTTAAAGTCATCTTTGAAAAGAGCAAAAAGGAAAAAATATGGATAGAGCGGTCCAAAAACTGCTGGAGATTATTTTTGCATTCCATTTCCGAAGTTTCAGATATTTTTTTGCCAAAGATAAATCGGTCTAGTTCAAGTAGCTACAAAGTTGCACGTCTCTGATCTATCATTATTTGAAGCTGCGTTAATAGCATAGCGTCAATAATGTTTCAGTACATCCTCTCTGTTTGATGGGAAAAAAATTTTCGATGATCTCGAATGTGACTAATTAGTATTCGTGAAAAAAAATTAAACCAGAGAAGTAAGTCCGCATAATCGAGTGAGGAGTGAGGAGTCGTTATCCTATTAAGTACCTCGCATGAAATGTGACACAATTTGTGAAGTACCTGAGCTCTTTTCTTAAGATTCTCTTGCTCGTCAGAAGGCAAATCTTCTTTGTATCCATTTATCAATGCTTGACCGTCATCCACCCACTGATTTACAGAATCCACTAGGTCATACATCTCCTTCATTTTGTTTTGAGTATTTATCAACTAGGCGGAGGAGAATATAAATAGATCAATAAGTAAACGGCGGGTGGGTGGGAGGGGACATAGTGACTCACCCCCATCAATCGGGGCATTTTTTCTCATGTGCCCGACTAGAGTTCATTTATTAACCTTTTTTTCACCGTGGCCAATTTAGATAGCTAGTTTAATCCGTCTGTTGTTGTGCCTTTCACAATATAGAAATTTTACCCTATGATCTCCTTAGCCCTTCTGTTGATTCCAGAAGGTGCAAATAACTTATAACTAACTCTGATACGTGAACTGCAAAATTTCATCTGAACTCTGAATAAATCTGTGATAATACCAGTAGAGATATCGGGGAACTCCGGCAAAGAGATTTAATCCCAGAGTTGTTGCGATCACATCATCATGGTTAAACTAGGTACAACAAGGTTCCACACAATGTGGCTAAAATATTAGAAGACTGACTAGCAATAAGTAAAATATATACGTTTTACGCACCTTTTCTTTCTCATCAATGACTCTCTTGGCAACATGATTCCAGCAGTCGTCAAAGTCTTGTAACTGGGCTTCAATTTCCTTGGTTGTTTCTTCGTCGCGACCAGAATCCTCAATGAGGTCTTTCCCCAGTTGGCGGAGCCTTTGCAGTCTTTCCTCCTGTTCCTCAAGCTCCTTTTGAGTTGCCTGTTGGTACATTCGTAAAATTGATAAAACTGGATCATTATTCATGGGGTAGCATTTTACACCTCTAGGGACTGACTCCCAAAATTATTTCAAAGTAAACAGGTGACTGATACAATCGCGTTCAGTATTTTGCTGCTTGGGGAAGAGGAAATACAAGTTAGGAAAAATTGGTGGCAAAGGAGTATCCTCCGAAGGAAAATCATATCTCTCAAAAACCAACTGGGTGTTCATAAATCGCACTACCATTGAACACTTTTAACTAGGTGTAATCCTTACCTCGAGAAGTTCAAGGCTTTCCTTAACTTGTTGTTCGTCGGCAACATCAGTGTTCGATACTTCTTTGAGAGTTTTTTCTTTCTGGCTGAGCCAGTTTAGAAGTATAAGTTCTTCATCTCGAAACTTCTGCCAATCGATCATTGCTTTGGTTAGCTTCTGGTTTCGATCCTCACTCCAGTTCCAGGCCGTCGCCCACTTTTCGTTCACATTTTTGATTTGTTCTCGAGTTTTGTCATCCAAATCTGGGTCGGTTAAATCACTCCTTAGTACTGAAGCCACTAAAGACATGTCACCAACTCCCTCTTGAAATTTCTAAGGTCATGAAGAAACGACATGCTCAACATATTTCTATCAACAAAATTACGTGTTTCCAGCAGCGATCTTGTCTTTACTATCGATACCTTACTCTTTCCCACGTTACACACTCCTAGAAGAGTACAGGAGTGTTATTTGCTATCTCGCAAGGATATGAATACCACCGTGAAACACGATGACATTTGACAATTACCTGATGTTCCTCCAACTGCTCTTTAACAGTTTCGTAGGTAGGGCCAATGTCGTCTCCTGTGTCTTTTTTTTGCTCGGCCTTTTTCAACCATATGGTCATTTTGTTTAATTGTTGTTTCAAAAGAACAGATCTCTGCTGTGAAAGCCTATGGCAAAGAATACCAACAAACAACTGAGTTAAAAATTTAGCTTGTTTGATTCATTTCTAACGTATTCTATGTCAAGGTGGTGTTGCCTAATCGTTTTCGAAAATAACTGTCAACTCAGCCCTTCGATCAATTCTAATGAACAGTAAAACATATATAACCAATGTCATTCGTGTGTTCTAAAAATGATATCCCTAAACAACTCACTTGTCCTGATCTCTCTTAGATTGCTCTAGAAGGTTTTGCAACCTTTTATCGACATTATCCATCCGGTCTTGGAAGTGCTCCTTTTCACCTAAATCAAAGTATCCTTCCCCTATCATGGACCGTCCTTCATTCAAAACTTCATAAGTGTGAGACTTAAGTGGCTCGAGGTCTTGACGAAATTTCTGTGTATGAATGAGCAAAAAAAAATAGTTCGTTAAAAATTACAGTTCACTTCTGTGAGGTTCTCAATGGGGTGATCGCATTGCGGCAACGGTTAAAATCTTGGCCATATTACAGCTAACGGTTGACCTAAATGACACATTTAAGGAGGGAAACATTTTCACGGATAACTTTTTTGACGACTAATGGTTATAATACGATAATTTTGTATGTTTAATGGCTAAATTATTTGGTCTTTCTACAGCTTAAAGTTAACCCCTTTAAGACCCTCATCTGTACAAGGATTTATCTTTAGTTATTGTTGAGGAAAAGCACCTTCAACATTTCCAGTTTTGGCAAAAAGGCGTCCATTACGTTACTACTCAAACTCAGATAGCCCTACAACAATAACTGATGTGATGAAACTCTAGGATTAGTTACTAAAAATAGATAGCTCATCTCTCCATCTTAAGAACCTTTACGAGAGAGATGCCACGATGAATGGTCAGCAAATCATGCCTTACAGGAAAACAATTTTTCAACCTTTTGTTCCTCCAGCTGTTTAGTTACTTCCTCCAAATTAACTGAATCATTTTCATCGTAAACTGGTTTGGTATGCTCCGCGTCAGACAATCCACTTTCCACCTCATTCAATTTCTTGCCAAGATCTGCAACTGCTTTATCGTGTTCTGATTGGCTAAGAAAACGAAACTATTAGTTATTAGTTATAGTAGAAAACATTTTGTGCGATTAAATTTTGAAGTGAATGTCTTAAATATCGGAATGTTCCCATGGGAGGAAGATTGAAAGCAACTATTCGGCAAAGATCTCCTCGCTAGTAGCCAAAGTTTATCAAAGTCGCTTCTTTCTTTATACACCTACTGTATCCTCTGCTAGTGGAGAGCATGGAAATGGAGGCTGGTGTTTTTGTTTTTCCCACTCCTTCGGCATCTTTCGTCAGTTAGATTTATCAACCAATATGTTACAACTGCGCTTTTTATGTCCTGCTTCAGTCTGCAAGTTTCCAAATATTGTTTTTCTCTTCCCTCAATTTCATCATAGGGTGTATTCGTAACCATACCTGAAGGCTGGTTTAGAGTCCAAATTATCAAAGCTGTCGTTCAAGGCTCCCTCCACAGCTTCCACGTTATCGACTATGCAAGGATTCTCCATCATTACCGAAACGTTCTGCAAATTAAAGATAATATATCAAACAGCCAATTTAAGCCTGAGATTTTAAGTGTTACTTTGTTTTACCACCTTCCCGAGAAAGAAATTCGATCTTCTAATAATTCTCTTTCCTCTTACCCTTTCTTTGGCCTTGTTTCCCTCAAGATAGTTATACATCTCAGTTAAGTACATGATAATTAGCTTCTTGTCCGGCTTTTCAACGTCAATATCTGTGAAGTTTTAAAACTATTACAGGCTAACATGCTGACAGGTAAGAGATTACAGTTTGTGATTACATTTCTTTTAATTTATGACATCGATTCAATCAACTAACTCACTAAATGTATTCCTACTTTGAGTCAACCTATCGTCTAGGTAACCGTAAGGAATGATATCATTCACAAAAGGTTTTTAGCCTTTTGATAAAACAATATCGTTCAATCAGTTAATAAGTAAACCAAACAATATATTTTTGAATGTCCTTACTTTAAATCTAAAACTTCAAAACAAGTTTTTTTGGCCAAGAAGGCTACTTTTCAATGATAAGATGTTACAGTTTACGTTACAATAAATTTCATTGCATCGCGAGTGTGACATGAAGTAAAGAATTTCAACCGTTTTTTGTTTGTTTGTTCTTTTTATAAGATTCGAACCCTCTAGGGTTGAACCAGGCCTTACGTTCAAATTTTGCAGCGAAATGATCCATATCACCACGCCGATTTCATATCGCAAGCTTCGCACAAAAAGACGACACTAGTAGGAAAGGCCCACGCGGAACTTTCAGAAAACATCACAAACCTGTCGAGTCTAAGTAGCGTGGAACTCCGAAGTGCTTCTCTGCCATCTTAAAGGAGTTGTCCAGTCTGGTTCGAGTTGATGACTGCGCGATGGCATTAAAGTCAAACAATCCAGGTCTGAGAGAACAGTAAATTTCGTTATTTCCAGATACAAAGTAATTGTTTTTTTATGTGTGTGTTGATTAAGTCGCATCACAATTTTTTCGTACCCGTATGAATGAACAAGAGCGTTGAATGCCAGGCCATCCCTCCAGCTTGAAGAAAAATCAGAGATAGTGACGTATTCCTCATACCTAAATTCGAAAAGATCGTTTAGTTAAAAAGAAAAGGTTTAAAAACATCGAGGATTACTGAGAATATACAAGGAACTTGTTCAATTGCATCCTACTCACCCTTTCAAGCGTTCTTTGCACCAATCAAGAAGTTTCTTTTCGACATTGAATGATTTCGCTGTCTCCTCCGTTACCGTTTCCTGCATAACCTCTTGGACCTAACAAGTCAAAAATAAAATTTATTACTTTCTTTCTGTTTTTAGGAAGGCACGCGTGTTACCGACCTTCAAAAACTAATCAATTATTATCCATCTGACATGCACTTTACCTTTCTTAGATAAGATTGTGCAGGCTTTCCTCAGGCTTAGTTAGAAACGAGCAATCCTCTTGGGAACAATTAATTAATTGCCCTCATCATTATCGATTAAACCAGAGGTGACCTCCACATTTCCACAACTACTATGCTACCGGTGATTCAAAATAAGCCATATTTGTCATTCCCACAGTCTTCTTCATTATGCAAATATTCGTAATATCTTGATGAAGAAATAACGCATAAAGCGTACTTAGCTCTTACAACGGACTAAAAAAAAAGTCAATGTAACCTGCTCTCACATTCTATCTACTAAGTGATTCAGTGGTAATATTAAGTTGCATATGAGGTTCTTACTTGGAATCTAAGAATTACACTCCACATAAGACCAAGAATTACACGAGGTTTTCCATCCACAATGTCGAAGGCATTGATTCCAACCAGTTTAACCTTAAGAATCATAATATCATAGTGAAGTTAGTAGTTCACGTACATGCAATGGCCAACTGACTGTCACATTAAAAAAAGGAAGAAAACGCAGCTTGGCAGAAATGCTCCAACTACCCTTTCCAGCGAACCTATCACAGCTGTTGCAGCACATCATGAGCTAAATACGTTAATGACTCACAGATAAGAACTAGACTGAAAAGGAGCAAGAGCATAAACAAAAGAAATGCACGGTCTCGTTACCTTCTGCTTCTCCAGCAATTTCATAGCTTGTTCAACATTGTTCAACTTATGGACACGCAAGTTTCCTTTCTCTTTTTTCTGAAACAGCAACATTGAAACAAAAGCGTATACTGAGGTCAGGTCGTAGCCACTAAGACTCAGTTTTGGTTTGTCAAAAATTATTTCCGACGGATCAAAACTGACCAATCACGATCGAAGTACACCACTTGAGTCTCACAGCTAATAACATCCTGGCCAAACTGAACAATCAATGTACACGAACCGGACTTACAACAATCGACTGACAAAAACTTCTCACTGGACGCTGACGATGACATTCCCTTAGGTTGTCGAATTTCGAAACGTCCGTCCCCACTACCGACAAAAGTCCCTCTCAGGACTACCCTCATCCGGAAGATTAGACTACACGATCAAGAAGTGTAAAATATATTTCAGTCCTTCTTTTGACCTTTGTCAGCTAGACTGTTACAAAAATCTATAGAAAACTGTATCAAGCGTGGAACAACAAGGGTGATGACAGAATTTTTCAAAATTCATAAAATTTCCTGAAAATGAACTGCCAATAACAAATCTTAGTCATACTATTTGACGAATTGAGTGGTGATTTTAAACGGGTTAGATCCTAAAGACAGACAACTTTCGCTTGCGTTTACCAATTTTGTGTTACAAAGAACCTCCATCATGTTCAGCAACATCTTCCCGTCCATAAAATCTATCACAACATCTTTGATTTCCATGGGAGGATCGTGCTGTGGGAAGATAAGGGTGAGAGCATGGTAAGTAAATACAATGAAATATAGTGAAAAATAATTAGCAGACTGTGGCCCACTACACTTCGAATCTGGCTGAGAAAATCCGTCTTCGCGTCAACTCAGATTCACAGCTACATGCAGTGCCGTCTTTGACATTACATTTTCCTACACTTGAGTTAATTCAAGCAATTTGAACGCAAGTTTGCCACAGCATCCTTGCGACATTTTACTCAATGTGCTCAAACAAAATGATACAATAACTAGAGGCTAGCTCAGTGAAAATTGAATTTATTTCAACAAGCAAATATATTTCTGAAAGTAAGATAGAGTTTGCCTTACCTGAGCGAGTCTTGCGTTTACCCATTTTGTAAAAGTTTTCCTATGAAGTGTTTCCCTCTCACCTTCAGTAAAAGCAGTTATTTAAGATATCAATATTAGGATTTTGGAATTCTAAGATGGTCCCAACGATATTGGGTCGCATTAAAAAAGTGCTAGTGAATGTGTGCGTGTGTGTGTGTGTGTTTTTTTAAGAAATGTTTCGTTTATTTGTTTTTTGCTTGGTTTTTGACTTTGCTTTTTGTTTTCTCTTTTGTGTTTGCTTTCGTCTGTTTGTTTGTTTGTTTTATCATTCAAGAAAGCTGCGTTGCTTCATTTAATTTTTAAATTTGCTCATGACCTAATTTGAAATATGCTTTTTTCCAAAGAATTTTGTTTAAATTAACTTTTATGTTCGCAGTCTCTTTGTCTGTTAGAAGACGTATTTGAGTCTGTGTTTCATTAAGAAAAAGAAGGATGTCCTACGCATTATTTAGTAGGCGTGCCCTTTACGAAAATCTCGAATTTACCATTCTATTCTCCACGCGAATGTCAAGTGAGATTTTTTGTAAGACCTCGATATCCCAGCCTCCGCGTTTCCATCGCTATCCAAACTTTACATAAAGAAGGCCTCGTCATAATAGGAAAGTAGAAAGGTAAAAGCTCAACGTTATAGTGTTCTTCTTTTTTTTGGCAAACAAACATGAAAAAAGACTTTTGCTTAATAAGATAATTGTGATTACGTCCAATATCGATTGGAGACTAGAAGACATTGCATTGATAACAAATTGTCTTTATGGGAAGTCGCAAAGTGTTAGAAAAATCTAGAAGTTAATTTTTCCATTAACAGAACATATCGCCCCTTCATACCGTTATTATGATATTATTAAGATTTAAAGAGTTGTTGTTGAACTTCCTTGATTTTCAGTATCACTTTCTAAATATAACCGATGTTATCTCTTAATTTTCACTCCAGGTTAACATTATTTTATTTTCAAGTAGATCAGCTTACGCCATGATAGAATAATGGAAAGAAACCAGAGTTAAGTCGTCTCAAGTGCCCCTTTCATTATTGTGATTATTCCATTCAGGGCAAACACGGAAAATTTACAGAACTGGAATGATGTTACGTCAAATATGTTATGATAAGTTTCCGTCAGTATTCTAGCGTTTTTTGATAAAAAAATTTTCGTCGGCGACGATTTTAGATCTACACACACTGAAATATTTTTCAACTAAAAGCAAATTTAGATTTACGTTAACAGTTTTGACAAATCTTCATGATCGTTTTCCTCCTTATTAACAGACTATATCGAATCCTTTTTTTTCTATTTGCCTTGTAAAATGATTTTCGATTGATTTGCTTTTCTTTTAAACCCTTCATTGAGTAAAAATGCAAATATCAAGAGTAATTAGATGAACAGTCGTCTCACTTCATTACACAGGTTAGTATTTTAATATTCGTATATATTGATGAAGTGAATCCATATTTGTCCAAATTAAAATCTACATATACAGCCATCAAGAATACCGTTCCAAGAAAAGGTGAAGCTTTGATTTACTCGCTTCTTCTTTAGCTGGTAACGTTTTATGAGTAAAATTTAACCACCTGATAAGATTTGTTTATCGAAATAGCCATACGTAGCATTCCATGCATATCTTGCAGCGTAGACAGTTAAACACGGCGAAAATTTGTGCTAATTACTGCTCTATGAATACCTGAGTCAACTGTCTACCCAGTAAACATTTCGGTTGAAATCTGAAAACATGCTCACATCCTTTGATCCTTTAAATGTTCAGTACTAGTTTTAAAGGATGTAGCAAACTTATTTAAATTTAAGGTTGAATATGGTAAAGAACACAAGAGTGTCAAGTTTCAAAGTACTAAATAGATCTTATTATTTTTCCCTCTTGAACACCACAAAGTTATTGGTCCTTAATTGTGAAATGTTGTTTAAAGTTTAACAACTTAGCAGGAGCCTTCTCGTTAAAACTTGTTGACGTAAAGGCAACGAGCCTGTGAATTAAAAGTTAGGAAATAATAAAGAATGATGAGATACGCATTGTAATGTGTCCTTGATTGTTTACAACTTATAAGAATTGCAAGTTGTGATCTTTTTTGCCCAGATTAAGAACATCAAGCCCTGAATTTCTAAATGCGAGTGCTGAAAGCAATGAGCAAACTTGTCTATAAGAGCACTGGAACTTCAGGGAAGGAGCGAAAAGTTGCGCTAATTGTGTCAGGGGCGTCAAATTGCGCTGATTGAACGAATCACAGAGGGTAAAATCTTATAAACATTTTCCGAGAGCTACTGCAGAGATAGCATGACGCAGATGAAAAAAGCTTCAAGATTGTCTTTACCTGAGCGGTCCGAAATCATTCTCTTGATTTTCATGGAGTTTTGGCGAGCGACTTCAGCTTCTTGGCCGTTCATGTTTAAAAGCGAGGTCAGCTCTCCAAGATTCTGCTCAAATAGTGTTGTTCAATTTAGTGTAGGTATGCAAATTTATATTCAAGACTTGTCTTTGAGATGACCCCCAGGCCCAAAGGGTCAACTGATTTGAATATGAATGCTTGCACGTGAAGATCCGTTTTGTGCGTTTTCGCGAAATCTATGAGTGACTTTGTTCTCTAACAGCTTTAATGTTGCATGTTATAATGATTAACACCTTACAACAAACAGACAATATTTTGGGAAAATTAAGCGTTCACGTCAGATTATCACTAAAAAAGAAAAATTGATGCCAGGTAAACAGAGCAAGTGAGTGGTCGGTTAGGTCCGATTCCGGTCCGTGGAGGTGATTGAAGTGGTTGGCTATTTGGTGAATGACCTCACGTTTTCAGACTTGCAAGGACCCGATTCTGCTATAATTGCACATTTTGAACAAAAGAGTAGTGAGAACAGATATAAACATCCTAGAAGCGTATTATCTAATTGTGATTAGAAAAAAACGCGACGTGTTGTGAAGAAAGCAATCCCAGAACTGAACCTTGCGAACCTTAAGAATTGAACCTTAGGAATTGAAACTTGCGTACCTTAAGAACTAAACACAGCGAACATTTATGTTAATTTTTGATTAGAACCTAGCATGAAACCGAATACTGCTTATCTTATCAAAAGGCGTGTTTATTGACACACGCATAGCTTTTATATATTAGAACTGAGTTTACGTCTTGGAGAGAAGTTGTTGTCCACGAGAACGGATTGTTTCTTTTTGACGAGCAAGAACCTTGGAATCTTGTAAATCTAATTGTCGGAGGGAATAGCTAATAAAAACCCCAACAAGTGTATTAGATGGCTACACAACACTAATGTCTCTGGGAGAACATTTGTGCAATATTGCTATCCGTTACGAGATCATTCAACAGAAAAAATTTTGAAACATAATAACGATTTTTGCAAACTTCCTTTCCCTTTATACCAAAGACTATACGGAAAGCTCTTTGTGTGTTTACGAGACTTGTACTCTGCACAAGTTCAAGTTTCTCCAAATTTGTTATGATTCGTTCCATATGAACAAAAAGGGCCACACAGAGGCTCAGTGAAGCAAAGACTATTTTGCAAAAGATATACGGAGGATTTCCTCTAGAAAAAAAAACCAACATTAGCTGTAGCCTTCTCAGGACTGCAAATTAAAAGCGATAAGACCGGTACTATTACTCACGCGCAATTACTAAATGGATGTTCTTTTAGTATTATTCACGAGAGCTTGGCTGAGAAATGCTGTGACAAAATTTGCAAACCATGTGTTATTTGCATTTATTTTTGGCCTTTTGTACTCAAGAAGTTAAAACAATTTACAGTTGAAATATGAAGACAGCAGTAGACCCTAACTAGAGATACATTTACATAGGTCTGACGTGTTGTCACTTCATCTGCCCATAGCATGGGCACATTGTACTAATGGCTCCAGTATTCCTTCTCAGTTTTCCGAATTGGCGATACACCAAAAGAGTCTCAAGGCTTTTTTATTTGTATTTTATTATTGTTAGATTTTTGGGCCGAACTTGGCCATGTAATATGCACTCAGCTAGTTTCCCGCCAAAATTCATGATTTATGATTATAATAAACATACGAATCAGCACTTTTTTTTGCATGAACGGTCACGTATAATGATTCACTCGTGCTCTAATTCTCAATTTTCGACCATTTTTTCCTTAAACGCTCATAATATCTGAGAAGATGATTATGTTTTCCCTTCTTCTTTTCAACTTTACAGTCGAAGCACACATGAGTAAATTGAATGTGTTTCATGAGGATCAAATTTATTTGTGCTTTGCTGGATCACTACGCAAACAGGTTACGATTTTTCCTTATTATTGCTAGCTTTCGACATCATGTTATATAAATCATTATAGTGAACACAATGTTAAACCAAAAAAATTGCTTAAATCGTCGAATAACACCCGAGTAATATATTTGTTATAGTTTCACCTGTAGCCAGTTGATATAATTGAATATTTGCTTTGATTAGTGTCTCTAAGTATGGAAATCATTTTGTTCAACTCGCTACCTACTTACCAACCAACTGAGTAAATTTCCTAGTGTACTGTGTATTCCGCTGAACGGTTGTCGCTGCTGCTTGAAATTTTCTTAAAGATGACTTGCGAGATGTGTTTTCAGACGCCATCTTTGAAGCAAAAGTCTTATCGATTCCCGGAGAAAACACTTAGTCCACTGTCAAAATAATTTATGTCGAAAATTTGATTCTAGAAAGATTATCCCTGCACAATGACATATTTGGGCCATCAGACGGTTCTCTAGATACCGTAATACAGCGCCGAGTTAAAACAATCATTTTCTTTGAAATGCTAGCGTACGTACTGCAAGAAAAGTAACTGACTGCTTTTTTTTTCTCTCTAGTAACACTCGACTTCTTCAGAATCGAAATCTTATGAAGAAACTTTGAAAAGCTCATTACAATTTTTAGTTAAAAAGGCAGCTGGGCAAAACTTTTATTGAGGCTGCAAAGCAAAAAGGTATCGTTGGAAATATTCAGTGAAAATTTTCATGGGATCGGCAGCTACGTTTGTAAACCGAGAAGGCAAAATAAACATCATTTACATTAGTACGTTGATATATTGTTGGAAACAACCTTGCGCTTTTAAATGAAACATCGAAGTGTCCACTTCATTATGATTACGAAATAAGATGTAATTTTGGTAAATTTTGCCGTCGAAATACCATGTACAGAATAACTTTCTAAAAAACTTCGTCTGTTTAGTTTACAGATATTAAGTGGGTTTAGTGGATTTGTTCGAAAAGTTGAAGTATAAGGTTAGTTATTGACCCTGATTTGACAGAAAGTTTCAACAGGCTGAGCAAACATGGAGATATCAGTCAATACAAAAGAAAAGTCTGATGGCTTTGTAACCGCGGTAGTAACTAAAAAAGGCCTCTATTTTTAGTAATGAAGATATTTTTATGAAAGTCTGTTGAACCGAAGTACTAAACTGACAGGAAAATTTCCTTAAATAAGTTCCTAACTGAGAACTGTGATATCTGAAATTTAAATCATTCAACCAACTCTTTTCCATTGGAATATATATTGTGGAAATTCCACATTTTTACGATTCCAAAAATGTTGAATGTGCTCGTAGAATTACCAAGTGAAATTGACAGATTTTTTCATGGTTTGGTTAGAAAAATGAAGATAAAGAGCTATATACATTTTTAAGAATTGCCAAAAACTTAATATACAGAAATACACCAATCAGCTTGCCTTATGCTATCTCATAGAGAAATAAATCAGTTGCTATGTATTTTCACCCAAAGAGGATGAACTGAAGGAGTTCCACACAGATCAGCTGAGAGACTGAGTGCCAACATGAATATGTTATACAAATGTAGCTGGTATACATATCGTTGATTAACGTTTGCTTTAAAACAGACCAAAACATCCAGCTTTTTGTCAATATAACCACTTGAAAATAAGCAGCGAAAAGTAAATCCTTTTGACCCTGCCTTGTTGGTTTGTTTGATAATCTTTGCTGTTTATCTACTCGTTTGTTTGTTGGTCTTCCAGAGCCTGTTTTCTTATCCTTTGTTAAATTGTTGAATGCATTTATTTTGAAAGAAGTTACAGGTGTTTGACCCGCCGAACAGTTTACCCGTATGCGATCAGCATTTTCGGCCGAAACTCGGAAAAAATTGAAGACGAGTTGTAACATTTTGTAACGTCGGGTCATGGACAGAATGATATGCATTGACGTAGTATAAACTGTAGCAGAGCTTACTGTGCACTAGAAGCAAATATGTATTTTTTTTCTTTTTTTGTAATATATTTACTAATGAAAAAGAATATGAAACGAGTTCTATTCTGATGAATTTTGTTAGCCCAGAAAAATAGCAATCTTAAAGAATTTAAAATCAACAACCACTGCATGACACTAAAGTCTGGGCTACCATCACAATACATCTTAGTACCCTTCGCAACATCCATCTCATCATTAAATTTGAAGGCTACTGGTGAGTAACAGAGATAGAGTTTATAGGGAAGGATCTTAACTTGACACCCGTTTAAGTTAAGAGACGCCCTCTAATTGCGAACGTCCAGTCCAAATTCAAAGTATGTAAATTATATACATTCTATACCTGTGTACTTACTCCGTGAGTGGGCAATTGCTGACGTGTGTCGAACTCCAGCTTTGATATCTTTAGCAGCTCGCTGAAACAATTTAAGCTTGGGTCGGGCAACAGCAGCGACTTTCTTTGCTTCCATATTCACATGGAATGTAACCCCGGTTTTAACTTTCAAAAACGTTTATGCAAAATGCAGCTGACTTAAAAAGAACAACAATACAATTTTTTTGTCACCGACCTGTTCTCTAGAAACCGTTCTTTGTCTTGAATGATTTTTTTAGCTCAGATGCTAATGTAGAGCTTGATTTTTATCAGTAATTTCCACACTTATTTTACTGGAATGCTAGGCGGGATAGTGAACTTATGCAAAGTCTCTAGTTTAGTGTTCACACATAGACATCAAACATACCTCAGACAGTGAAGAAATTGCTTTTTTCTGAGGCTTCCAGGAGGAACGGGTCTGCCAGCTGCAAGTCTGCCATAACAGCCTACTAGCAGTATTATGCATTAATTGCTTTTAAAAGATTACATTCTTGAAAAATGACAATGGATGGTATTAATTTTAGACCTCTTAATTAAGTAAATATCAACTCAGTCATTATGAATGATGTGCAAAAAGCGAAACTGAAGGCAACTCAGCTGTCGTTTACAAATTAAAGTAAACTTCGGAGATAAACCTTACTTATTATGAAATGCGGCTCTATGCTTTTACTTTACCACATGGGTCGGGTCTTTTATCAGGCCATTCTGTACCATTAAGATAACAGTTGTCTCTGAACCCTAAACCTTTCTGTAGCATATTGTAGCGTTATTGCTAAGGAAATTAAATCATTTTTTTTTTACCTTTTTACCCCTAAGATTGACTTGCATCTATTTTCTCCTTACCAAATCACTCCAGAATCAAACTTGAAGGTCACAAGAATAAAAGAAATGATCACCAACTAAAGAAGTTGTTGATTGACAAACCAATTCTCCTTGTTTGAGAATATGCATACTGGTGTGAGGGTATAAAAGGGTTAGCCCTAAGCTGAATGTGCTCCCCTACAAAACTTAACTATAGGCCAATGGTAATGTAGAGGAATCGACAAAGAGATGAACAAAAGTGTTGTCAGGGGAATTACTGTTTCATTCACTTTGCGATGTGTTAATAACATACTGACCTTATATTTAAAACTGCAATGAAATTAATTTTTATTTGACCTGCGGATGAAAGTCAAGCAAATATTTGTCGCTCCCATTGTCTTGCTTCGTAGCTCAGTTGGACCAGCTAGTACCTGGGAGGCATGGGTTCGAATCCCGTCGAAGCCTGAATGTTTCAGGCTTCTTTTCGTATTTGCCAAAATTACGGTCCATTTGCGAGGATCATTTCTTTACTTAAATATATTTCAGTTTGTTGGTAGTTGGTAAGTTTTTTTTCTCTTTCTAATGTTAAGGTTGCATTAAATGAAAAGAAATTTACATATGCATCAAAACTTTTATCTGTTCACTCAAAAGCTATTTATAGTATTCATCGATTTAATGAGACTTTTTATTTTGTCCGAGCTTTGCTCATTATGCACATAACTCACTTGCGTTCGAATGAATTATTATATGTCATCATAAATCACGGTTCACAAAAAGAAAGTTTCGAGATTTATACTTATTACTACTCACACTATTCCCTACTCGAATGTGAAAAAAGGAAAATTCAAGCCATAAGTAACCTTACCTGCTTATCAGAGCTTCATTAACATCTGTTTAAGCTTATGTTATGTTATGCTTCCCTTTTAGGAGTAGGAGTGGTTAAAATCCCTGGAAATTTTTCTACCTATATAAGCTTCATTAACAAATCTTGATTGCGCCACCGATACCCCTGAATAGCGTTTATTTTTTCCTCTTTTGATAAATTAAGATATTGCGTTGTTCAACTGGTGGACTCTTTCGATCGACATCAATCCCGTTCTGCTTCGAATGAGGTGGAATTTTCTTAAAAAAAGAATCCTATGACATTCCGCTCATGATTTTGGTGGTACCAATTCGATCCTACTTCCCCTTCATAAGGAGAAGATTAAAACCTGTCAGAAACGGTAGTATTTGAAACGAATTTCAAAATACCGAGGAGCCATGATCTTAAAAATCTATTTATACATTAGAACAAAATATTTACTTTAATTTGCATGTGACATGTAATAAATTTTTCTTTACATGACAGATAATCAACAACAGGAAAGGCAGTGTTGCGTGACATTTTGTCCATAATGGCAAGAGAATGACATAAGATCTTCGAGCTAAGATTAAAAAATATTCACCTGAAGTGTACAAGGGGATTTCATCTGAGTTCCCGATCGCAAAACCGCCGATGGACTGAGATCTGGCAAGTTGAACCGATTATCAACAGCCTTCAAACAATTTTCCCTAGTCAAACAACTCTCTGACTAACTCGAAGTTCGCTGAAAGACCACTTTTTTGGAAGAAATTCCTTTGAGAATCTTCAATATCGCTCCCAAACGCAATCGACAATGAACACAGAATACATCTTAATGAAAGGTAAGAGAGATCGCGGTACCATGAAGAAAAATAAGCTGTAAGTTAGCGTTTAAAGAATATCGTTTGTTTTGAATACCCATTAATTGTAATAATTTACATGCGATAACAGCAGATAACAGCAGCATCTCAAGCTCTCACCCAAGAAGGTGGAATGCCAATTATTAAGGATTATATCCGACTATAGCCTAAAAAGCAGTGAACGTATCAGTAGGACTTTTAAGTGTTGCTTCGTAGAGCACATACGTACTCAGAGAGCAGAAACCAATGGTGCGTAATCAAGAAACTTATGTTAAGTGGATTTAGACAAATTATTCTAGGCTACATCGCAGCTAAACATAAGTTTGTTTGCAAACTTATTACTGAAAACTTCAACGTATAGAAATGTGCAATTCAGTCGATTTACGTGCTTTGCAAGCTCATAACGCGCATTAATATGCATATTTTTTTTGGCGGTTGATACCGCTTCTTTGTCGGGTTTAACGCGCCCAAACAATTTCTTTTGTTCTTTCGAGAGCTTCAGCTGTACGAGACAACTGAAGCGACACTTCGCGTACCAAATTTATCCACTAAGACCCTAAGTAATCTCTTTCTCACCGTCAACAGTAAATTATATAAACTGAATCTTTGTTTAGCATTTCATTGTCAACAGGCCTCCAAAAGGGGAAAAAACGTCTCGGAAAAAATCGAATTATTAAGAGATTTTCGGTACATTGATGCAAGCACGAACGATTGCTTTGCGTTACAATTACCCAATCAAATTTTTATGCAACAAGGTTTAATAGCAATCCTTAATGGACATATGCACACTTCGGTTTCCAAGAGTTTTTACTCGCCCTTGAAGTTCGGAAAAAGCTGTGGATTCAAGAAAAAAGGGCATCGTTGCAAATTCAATTAGATGAGGGGGAGTCTTCAAACGACCGTGATCTTCAACTATGCAAAACGCCTTTTTTATCATGTCTAATAAACACTATTTAAAAATCTTCTTGTCATTATGCATATTGTGACCATCTCGGCAATATTAGCACCCTCGCTCAAACATCTGACTTTTTGAAAAAGAATCAATCAGCGTGATGCGGGATGAGCTAGGAACGAGAAGTCCAAGCAGGTGAGAGTCTCGATTCCTGGTGTCCTGAGAGAAGGTGCTCGCTTATTTTTACATCAGACCGGTATAAATTATGATCATGACTGGTTACACTAAAGGAATTTTGCTCTCTCCACAGACAGTCAATTGGACAGGCATGAGAGGGTTTTTACTCGATGGATTAATCTTCAATTAGCAAAAGTAAGAGTCACTTGAAAGAGTGTAAGCCGCCATGACCTTGGGATTTATGGCGTCAGAGGGTAATAGTTGAAGGTCGTCTTAGATTTAAGATTCTCTCTTTTTTGCTCGATTGAATTCGACTTGATTGCTTTCTCTCTTTGACCAGTATAGCACTTTAACATTTTTGCTTTTAGTGGACATACTCAGTACATGTGGAGGCTTTGGAGTGGTAGGGCTATAAAGAAAAAAACTAGGAAAGTAGATATAAGAGTCCAGCTTTAAGCCGAATTAGTTTCACTAATGTATAGCTTTTGGGTGAGTTTCCCAATCATTCAAGGTAAAGCTAAGATTTTGAACTATTTACTTTTTTCTTACGGTATATATCCTCTCTATCATGTTAATAATCTCAGTTTTCTTTCCGTCAATTTAATTTTGTTTTTGTTCACAACACCAAAAACAGTTTAGCTACCCTTGATGATTCTAAACTTCACGAAACATTTTCTACAGGCGAATCCTCCGGTAAGAGTCTCTAACCTTGTCAACGGATCGAAAGATGGGAAAGTTTTACTCACACTTGTTGAAGTACTTCTTGGAATCAAAGTTTTGAGAGACACGAAAAACAGCCGCATAGCTAACATTAAAAGTATCCAGGAGGCTATGGGACACTTGGCTAGAAACAAGGTATGCATCCTAAAACAAGCTTGAAATATTCGATCGAGTTATTCCATGACTGTCATTTCTTGCTCCTCGAATTGACTCGTGTGTAATTGAAATAAGAAGATAAATCTCTTCAGACAAGACAATTTGAGCCAAACCTGAGGCAACTGAGTCAAGCTTAATAATGAATGTTGTCAAATAATAGCGTTACTGAATTCGTCAAATAGCTGTTAATTGTAATGAAGCCCTGTATCGACCAATCAGAGATTGCACAGCTCCATGATCACCTGAGCACTGAGAAAAACAGGAAGTCAATCACCAATGCTATGTTTAGTTATGCGCAACTAATGTCTTGTTTATTCCTAGGTCCGAACAGGAAGCGTTACAGCCAGCGAGATTGTATCCGGTGTTCAGCGGGCTACGATAAGCTTGGTGTGGAGTATCATCTTTCAATTTCAGGTTGTTAAAATTTTGATTTGGATGCAGAGGCAACTTATTTTTTTATGTCTAACATAGTTCTGATAATTTAATATTTTTTCAGCTTTCAGTGTCCTCCTTCGAAGCCGTATAAGTCTTTTCTTTCTTGACCTTCTTTCCCAGTTATTTTTTCCTTATTCTTTTCTGCTTTCCAAAGTTCGTTATCACTATAAACGTTTCGGCCCACATCGTAATGATTTTTGTTACGTTATCTCTTAAATAATTTTTGTTTCAAACTATGTCCCTTGAAAAGGTAATCAAGGCGATTCAACCCTCTCAAACAGATTATGGAGTCGATCAAAAGCTTCTAGGATGGTGTCAATATCAGCTGAAAGGGTTTGTATCTCTCACGAATTCGCAATCAATAAGGTTGACTAATTCTAATGATGAGTTAACATAGCTTTGCTTTACTCCTTTGATCTCCAACAGATACAAAAGTAAAGTAGAAGTGACTAACCTAACCACGAGCTGGATGGATGGTTTAGCATTTAATGCGCTCCTTCACTCTTTCAAGTAAGCCTTTCGTGTTGGTATCCATTCAGGCTGATATGGTAAACATACTTATGCATAGCATTAAACGTTATCGAGGGTCACTTATCTCGTCGCCTTGGTGCCCAATCTGCGAGTGGAACATAAGTATATTTTACTTACGACCTGGCCAAAACACCTCATATCTTTAACTGAAGAAACCAAATATGAGAGAAATTCCTCATCTTCATGGCAGTGTTCAACGATCGCAAGATTGCGTCTCTATAATAGGTCTGCTTTAGATATTAGTAATCGTTGCTTGTTTTCTGTCATCTTATAGCCCATCTCACTTTAACTTTGATGCAATATCAGCAAGTGACGGGGAGAAACGTCTTGCAAATGCCCTTAACCTGGCCACTGAAAATTATGGAGTACCTCCCATTTTTGACTTGGAAGGTAAAGTTATTACTTGGCATCTATAATGCAAGTACTCTAGCCTTAAGCCTATGCAAGAAAATCTTTCAATGAGAATTTCGTATGGGCAAACTCCTTTTGTATTTTAAGCCACAAAATGTTTTCCACATGTAAGTAATTTACCAAAAGCTAGTTTTACTCAGTTTGTCTAGAAGTGGGGTTTTGCTGTTTAGTTTTTGACCGATAACGTCCAGTATATTCTCTGTGATAGATAAGTAATTTAATTTTTTATCTAAATTCTTACAGATTTTGGAATCGAAACACCAGATAAAAATATGATAACGCTTTTCTTATCATATTTGTATCAATTCACGAGGAGCGGAGCATTATCGGTCGAGAGTTTTGAAACATTCAGGAAACAAACATCATCTGAAGTAAAAACGGTGAGTATACATGCATAAAAATGTTATTCGTTATCTGCCAAAAATTAAGCAAACAAATAAGGTATCAGACGGGTTTTAATTTCTGGACTTCCTTTTACAGGAATACAAAGTACAGACCTTTTCCACACGGTATGAAACGTCAAGTTCGCGTGCTACAACTTATGATGTCAGAACGACAAGCACTACTCATCAAGGAAAGAATGATAGTGTCTTCTATGAAAACCAATCTGTGGGAAATGAACGAGTTCTTCATGTGACTGGTTTCCCTTCATCGATTCAGATACAAGGGGTACGATGATTCAGTTCTTATTTTCCCTCTCGTGATACCAGTCTATGTCGCAACCGATCTTTTTTGCAAGCCGTAACCTGACTGTCCATCGAGTTCGTTCAGTTTTGTTCGCGGAACACTGCCCCTCTAACACCGCCCAAGTGTTTCAAATAAAAGCTGCGAAGTAGAGTTTCGTGATGATAACAATTATACTCAAAATCGTACAACGCTAATAATGCTGACATTAATTAAAATGAAGATGAAAGTGATCCTCGCTCCAATAAACACTAGTAAAGCAGTGGTGATTTTTTTAGGCTATATTTTCAAGCAGTAAGTGCATGTTCGTTACTGGGAAGATCACTCTCATCTTAATTTATTAGTCTGCAGTCAATTATGTGATGCTAAATTTTACAGTCGTTCAATAGTTAAAAGTACAGGATGATGAAAGATAAGATAATCTGAGTTTATAATCTCTTGTGAAAAGTTGATGTAATTTTCCTCCATGTTAGGCTTATGATCTTAGGGAGTGACTTAGTAAAATGCTCAAAGGCCGATCTGCCAAAGTTAATGACATTCACTTTTTTTGTTTTCAGCGAAAAGGTTTTGTTGTGTCACCGTTTCGAAAACCCTCGGGCAGTTCATCCAGAAATTCATCGAGAGCCTCAAGTCCAGACTCTAAGGTATTGATAAGAAAATTCGATAGATTTAAGCTGGTAGATTGCATTACTCTTGCAGGCCTTATTCCTAGGGGGGAGTTCTTTCTGGTAATATTTAGATCACTTCTTTTCCCAGCTCCCTGGGAAACTCGGTAGAACCAACCCTGTACTACGAATCGGTTGAACATTCCATTCCGTCCAACGAACATTCGTTTTTGACAAACCAGTGAAGTAAAAAAGTTACGAACATAAATTGCGGTGTCGCCAGTGAACTGTGTGCATCGAGTGATGCATCAACATCCTACTAGTCTGCCTCTTTTCATACGCTGTAATTCAAATTTTAAATGCTTGTTACGAGGAGATGACTTAATGTAGTATGGTGTGGTCTGGTTTTATTTGGGTTTGTTTGATTTGCTCCTAACCGCCGATTAGAACGAGGATAACGTGAATATTTGCTACATCACCGGATAGGAAAATTTAGAAATGCATATAATACCGACACTCGGGCAAAAGCATATGACCAAAATGACCCTTAGACCCTGTATTGCTTATGTGTGGTTCTCGGCAGCTCCTAAAAGTGAACTAAACTAAGAAGTCATCTTTGCTTTGCTTTAGCGGTCGAGGAGCAAAACGAATTTTGGACAACCTTTGGGCAACGGAATTGTGTAATGACATCCTCAAAAGTAGTGATGGCTTGAAATTGCCTTCTAAGTTAAGGTTTCAGAAGGAGATTGATAACAAACAATTTCGTCTTTATCATCATTTGATGAATTATTTCACTATTACAGGAGCTCAAAGACGAACCTCTAACGTTCACATCGTCACCTCAAATGTCATGGAATGAATCATACGAGTACAAGGTCGCCACCAGAAATGTCACATCAGATAGTCACGTAACATCCACTTCCAGCACTAACATGGTATATACTCGTTTGTGCATTTACACGAGCATGCTTTCGATTGATTGTTCGTTAAAGACATTCCCATTGTACACACATCGACGACACTTCTCCAGCAGTGATTTACGAGAAAAGATTTACGCAGAAAACTGTCCAATAAAAGTGCAGATAATGATAAAGCAGAATGAAAAAATCTTGCTCTTGAGCTTATCTTCGGTACAAGATAAATGAATGCATTTTGGCTTGTGATATCTTAAAACAGACGTTCTCCGGTTAGGACAAAGTAAGGAATCTTTCTGGTATGGCTTTATTTTAACAAGTTCTAGGTAATGGATATAAGCTTATATTCTGTGGTTAAATAAAGTAGTCGTTTGTTAATCCCAACAGGATCAAAAGTCCTACAAACAAAATAAATGATCGTTTCTTTCCCATATAGTTATCGTCTCAAAGTAGCGAAGATGATTCTGCCAGAGTGGATAAATTAATCAGCATGGTTCAGAATGGTCAAACGCATGAAAACCATAAAGAGGTAATTTTGAAGTTTCTTTGAAATAGAGAGATTTGAGTGTTGAAAGGAAGAGAAGGGTTTATCATTACCATAAAGATACATCACAACTGAAAACTAAAACCTACATTCCTCTAATAGGTGGTACCTGGCGATGTCAAAAGCGACTCAGAGAAGCGTATTACCTATACAGTAGAGAAGAGGGTAAATGATCAAAGATATATGCTGCATTGGTGGGCAGCTAAAATGTTTAGTTGACGACAAAGTAAATAGTTGATAACATGAGATACACCGCCGCAGTGAACTTAAGAAACAGACGTTCATGACATTAGTCCCTAGTAAAGGGAACACTACCATGGCCCTTTTCAAAAGATATCAGATTTGAATCTTAAAATATGTTCAGACAAAAAATGATGTCGACTTGAAATATCCTTATCAAGAATAGTCAGTCGGCATTAAATCGAGTCTCCTCAGTTTCGTGATTACAAAAAAAGGTCGCGTTACAGCACAAATAAGGTATCATACTCCATCTCCAGTTTGCTATTAAGTCATAATAATAATAGAATGACCAAATATTTAAGATTTTTCTTGTTTCTAACTGGAGCAGCCTTATGTTTGAATCTCAATTAAATTTACAGACAGAGCGAGCTCCAGTTGTGAACATAGAAACTGAAGAGACAGTTGTTGATGAGATAGTGAAAAAGACAATTGGCACGGTAGAGGATGAACAAGAAAGAGAGAGAAGTGGTAAAAGTGACGCCGAGATTGATGCAAAAGAAGGTGATGGCTCCAACAAGGTCGCAGCTACTCCTGAGAAAGATAGAAAGGGAGAGGCGCTCCACGAAAACACAACACTGGTACGTAATTGAATAATCATAAAGAAAACCAAGACAGCCTAATAAAACATTCGTTACAAATTACGAGGCCCCTTTGTTATTTGCACTTCGCAATAAGTATCGGGAACTAATGTCATTCAATTGTACGCCCCTTAGCCTGACGGCAGAACAAATAAAACCAGAGAGGTTTTGTTGGTATCTACTGCACGTATCTCTGGTGAGGAAAATCCAAAGAAAACAGAACCCGATGGACGGGCGTCTTGGCTCTCCGTTAGCACTGAAGATGATGGCGAACAGTCTTCTGATGCTAGCCTGGTTCATTATTTTAGATATGACAAGGATGAGTCCAGTCCTCCCAGGTAAAGAAACATTAATTTTGCAAAGCGACAGCGTAAAACTGCGGTATAACGTAGAAGGTACGCAATATCGCCCTATCGTTTGGTACTACGTTAAATAAAAGCCACATATTCTACTTTCTCAACTACTCTATTTAATGAAGGCCTTCTCTCTAGGCTTCCGTTCTCCTTTCCTTAAAAATTGCGAGGTCAATCTTGCGTCCCAGGAATGTCATAAAAATACAACATGTACACGCCTAAGGATTCCAAAAAGGCCGGCTGCTTCAATATCCGAATTAAAGTAAACGAAAATGCTAAGATTAGCCCATTGCTGCATTGCGAGAATTAAGCTATGGGTGAGATTACTTTTGTTCTTGAAATTGGAGAAGAGTCAAGTCAAAAGTTTGAGGGAACAAAAAGCATTGTCCAGTTCCAATACAAGTACAAATCTCAACCTGCGAAGCTGACGTTGTGTTTATAGATACCTGACCCAAATTCAGATCAATTTGGGAGGACAAAGAGAAAATAACGTCGGGTAAGGAGCGATTTTGTTTCAATTTTCTCACCAAATTACATCCATTGAAACACGCATTACTAATTGAACACTAATGCATGTGGATCATCTTTGAATCGAAGGCAAATACTATCATTTGGTGAGATTATCATTTATTAATTCTGATCCTGCAACTTAAATCTAACCTCTTGATCGCTATCTGTAACGATCTAGGATGACCTCCGTTACAATTTTTTCCATCCGTTCTCTTTCTTGATTTATCAGTTTCTCTTCTATGGCGATTAATTTTTTTTTCTGCTGGTCCCTCCTATGAAACTTTTATCGATAGTTAAGATCGATGAGAGTCAAGTACAGATCGCATCAAAGAAAAAGATCATTTGTAAAAAAGACATTTTCTTAAACTTTTTCTAATCCGAGTTTTCCTGATCAGGTGTTGAGATATTCGAAACCTGTCTGCGATTGATAGAACCACTGATTGTACCCAAGTCTTGTAAGCATGAAGAGAAGTCTACAAGACGATATGATTTAAATCCCCAAGGTCTTAGAATAAAATGAGTAAGAAATAATGGCTTTTCTTCTTTCCTGAAACACGAGTGGAAACACTGGTCACGGATTATCTTTTTTACACAGCCAATAAATTCCTTTCTTTCTGCAAAATTTGAGATTACAAACTAAACCTAACAAAGCACCTAATTTAATATTTTACTTTACAACGTAATTTCTAATGATGCAAACTTAACTGTAATCTTGCAAAGACCATGCCGAGATAGATAGTATTTTATAATGAGAATGAAACTAACAAATCAAAGTAGAAGCAGTCATTGTTGCTGTTGTTATTTGTTTATTCCAATTTTACAGTATTATAGGGAGATCATATGCACCTTGGTAAGCAAAGCCATAACTCAATAGATTAAACGATATTTCGGAGAAGTTGTGGGGGATTTTTCCTAATGAAGGTATGATTCAAAATGCGTATACTTGATCTTCTCATTCACAACAGCTCCACAGCTGGCTCAATCAACTTTGTGGACTACCTGAAGAGGAAATTAGACGCCGTTGATCGAGATTTATTTGACATCGAGTACGGTGCAGGACAGTCGGACAAAGAATCAATGGACTTACAGACCACGAAAAAAGCGTTGGACCAACACAAGGTTACTCTTATTATCTGTAGCCCTGATGTTTGACGTTTAATGAGTTTGCGTGTGTTATCCGTTTAGCCCCAGAAGTTGTCTCTACGTTGATCACTATGAATACATATATTCAAATAAATGAAAGAGAAATACGCTTCCCGAATTTCTGAACTAGAAGTCCCAGTTATTCGCAAAGCAAAAAAAGACACATTTTTGCATAGTTTTACCCCACCAAAGAATGGCTTGTAAACCGCGTTTTACATTAATTTGTTGAGTTACTTCCTGCTTAACTACACGAAAGATCAAACGTACTTGAAACTAAACTAACGTTTGGGATGATTTCACATTGTCTCGAAAAGGACGTTCTGCTTGAGTTGGAGTCGGTTGAGGCCCATACTTATGATGTTCTAGAGGAGGGTAAAAATCTGGTCAACGAAAAATGCTTTGATAGTTCGCATGAGGAATACTTTAGTGATAGAATGGAGGCAACAGAAGGAAAACTGAAGAGGACTGAGGAAGTCGTGAATAAGGAGCATCAAAGGTAATTGTTTTTCTGTTCTCTTTAAACAGGATAGGATGAAACTGCATCCTGTCTGAACCCCTCGTGACGCGCTAGTTTCTTAATTGTGTTTCTTAAAGATATCGCATTTTGGGATCTAAGAATAACCAACCCTGAGCCAAAAAGTTATGTCACTGGGAATTTTAAACACCTTCGTTCATTCTTCACCAACAGAGCATTTTATTATGCTCTCTTGTACCCTACCAAGACTTTTAAGCAACTCGCGAAGAAAATGTAACAGTATTCCCGGGAGTCCAGAGAGCTTGAGTCTGAAAATACTTGTAAGGAATTTCCTTTAGAATAGGGTCCAGTCTCTTGGCTAATGATTCTATCCTGGCTTAACCTTAAGATAGTTGATAAGCTGACTTATTAAATTGCAGACTCATTCATTATTTACTGATTCTTCCTTCCTCCGTAGGTTGTTCGACCTGTATGTAATTTTGCTCAATCAGCACTTGGAGCGGATGAATGATTGGCTTGTCCGTGCCGAGTCCCGGATGGCCTTAGATGATGACGTGGAGCCAACATACGAAGGAGTAAACCTTCAAATCGTCAATCATAAGGTTTTCAATGAACTCAATAACTAACGTACTTTGCGTCCACCGTTTGTCTTTAAAAGCCACTGATAAGTCAGACATTTTTCAACCTTCCACTGTGGCTGATGCATTTAGATAAGTTGAGCTTGTAGTTAGCTTACCCTCCTATTTAGGGTTCTATATATAGAATAAAACTGCTAGAAACGTCGCCCTACTCAATAAGATCCATTAAATTTTTCAAAGCTTTCGATTTGTAACAATATGGAAAAGCTGGTCTTTTTATCTTTCTTGCATAAAATAAGTAAGATGAATTCCTTTATCTTCAATCTTCTCTCGTCTCAAAGTGAAATAGTCTCTTAACTTCACCATGCCCCTCCTACTGTTTCATTTTCTAAAGACTCGATCTTATCCTAGACATTCCAGGAAGACTTGTCTAATCATTCCATGGTGAATATGATACTTGATATGGACATGGAAGATCCTGCTATAGATGAAACCATTCGGGACTGGGTCAAAGTGAGTGATAATCTTTCTAGGAAAATCTCAATGGGGTTAACCTTTAGTCGAACAACGGCAAAAAGTTCAGCCTTGAGGCGTGAAAAACGACAAATTTTAAACTTAAGTCATGAAAAAATTAACCATATAATTTTTTGTTAACTTAAACAGAAAGAAACCATCCGTTACCCATCACCCCATTGAGACCCTCTTCTCAGTGTGAATAAACACAAAAACCAGGAGATGTATACTTACATCGAGATCCCCCTTCAAATAAACTTATCTTTTAGGAGTTAAATGAGTGGTGTGAACGGAATATTTTATGAAATCTCATCAGTAGGCGGCGCATCTATTAAGTATGAAAAAAATAGGTGTGAAATCCTGTCTGTTCATGAAAAAAAAACAGCTAGGGTAATGTTTTGGTGTAAATGATAGAAAACACTGTTCCCGATTAAAGATGAAAGAGAATGGTAATCACCAATTATCATTTGGAGCAATTAGGACGGACAAATTGGGCCTCTATTTCTAATTCACCAGCCCTCCTCTTTTTCTCGGAAGCAGGTTTTGAGTGAACGTTGGGCTGCAGTGTGGACGTGGGCAGAAGAATGGAAAGAGAAGCTTTACAAAGCCCTTATCGACTGGAATAAACTTCGCGAAGAAGAGACTGTTCTATTGTCCTGGTTGTCAAGTAAAGAGCAAACCATGGATGTTATTGGCCAAACGGATATCACAGATGAGGCACAAGTGAAAATGCACTTGAATTTGCTAGAGGTACGAAAAGGGCTGATCAGTAATTAAAAGCACAGAAACCCTCGTTCAGTTCTGTTTTACAGCAGCTCTAGGCCCAGCTGCACAATCGTTCACCTTTTCAGTATTTTTTTTTTTTCAACAGACATTAGAGCGCGAAATGGATGCACAAGGCACGCGACTGGAATCTCTCCACCAAATTGGAGAAGAACTCATAAGAGATGCTGACTACCACAATTCTACCGCTAAAGCAATCTGGGACCAATTGGAAGACTTTGATGAATGCTGGAAAGCGATTAGCAACTCAGTCAAGGAGAGGAAAGCAGTGGTGAGCATTGAAAGTAAAACCAGACGAAACTTACCGTTGCGTTTTCTTTGCAGCGCTTATATTTTATCCCTCTGTTTTTCCCTTTCAAAATAAATCCAACCAAAAATGGCATTGTTGCAAGAATAATCGATGGCGCTGGTGAGTTTAGAGTAAAAAATTATTAGCAATTCCCTTAAATATTACATGTAAGTGTGAATTTCAACAGGAACTTCTGTTGTATGATAATTATGATACAACTAATAACATTGTCGTTATTGAAAATACACATTCTAGCTTCAAGATACCCAAAGTAAGGTGAAACAGATGGGGGACTTGATGAAAGAAGTTCGAGCCTGGATGGACGAGGCCGAAAAATTAATCAAATTTATTCGATTACAAAGTGACCCTGAGAAGGAAACCAAAATCCAAGAAAAGATAGAGGTAATGGTCAATATGTGTTGCATACTTTACTATACATTCCATCAGAAGTTACATAGACACTGAATACGAACAATCTTTTATATGAATCCCCGAATGTTTTTCTTTTTTTTCGCAACATTCCAACAAAGTGTCGGGGCTCGACAAGCTGTAAGGGTGCCTGAATGTTCTGTGTAGATTTTAAAGCAGAAGAAGTGATTTGAGTGCCGATGTAACCCACTTACTGCTACACCAGGTTTCTTTTACTCTTGTAAACTTTCCTCATGAGGTTCATTTTGACTATTTCTAATCGAAAATTTTAAGGTTATCCTTCACATTCAAGACCAATTTGAAAAAAAAGTCTTTCTAGTTTTTAAACAGTGGGTCTTGTCAAAGAAAAACTTCTAAAAGGTAAATCATCTGGTGTACACGACTTGAAAATTGCACAAGCCAAGCATGAAGTTTAAGAGATATTCTAATCTTGGCAACGGGACAAGTTTATCGACAAATTTTGGTTGTTTATTAAATAAAGTAGACTCTCTAGATGTTAAGTTTTTGCTGGGGTAGATTTTAGTTCCCGATCGTTCTCATCTTAGGGGAAAAGGATGAACTAGCTCTTTCTCGATGCTTAAAATAATCATGAATAGCTAATTTTTACTTCATTTTTCAGCTTAAATGTGAGGAAAAAGACAGAAACCAGCTCAAAGTCGACGAGATCAATCGCTTAGAGGAAGAACTAAGCGCAAACATCGATAAGAGGTCCAATTACTACATGAAAAGAGTCACCAAGCCATTCAAAAAACGCTGGGACGACACAAGAATTGCCCTCGACAGATTTCGTAATGATGACTACCCGTTTGTCAAGCCTGACGACTGCTTCCTCGTTAAATGTTTAAAGAAGGCCCTCGTAGTTAACTGAATAGATTCCTGGTGTCCTTAAAATCCAAAGTGACGATAAGGCATGATGTGTGATGCTTTACGCACCAGCTCTCTTTAAAATAGCCACGCTTATTTTTAAAGCACCATTCATGTAAATGAACCAAAGAAAAAGTGGATTTGGATCCTTCCATGGCAGAGGAAGGGAAGGAGTCCCGTTAATTGACTCGGCAAAACGTTCCCCATTTAATTCAGTTTAAGAGGCTTGACACATCAGCAATCCACTGCAGAAAATACGAGTTGGCTCAGTGTTCGAGCTTTAGTTAACATTAGGTTTCAAAAAAACCATGGAGATGATTAAACTTTCTATTCTGCCAATCAGAGACTTTAGCCTCCACCCTAAAAAGATTAGGAATTGAAAAAGCTTAATACCTTATTTGGCTAAAAACTTGGAATATATATAAACGACGAGCTTTCGGCTACAAGGGTAATAAGCTTTGTCGCCAAAAAGTTGAGCTATATTCTAAATTAATTTTAGTGAGAAAAAGTTACAATTTTAATATTCCAACCTGTTTAGCCAAGCAAAACTGCCAGTCGCTTTACGTAAAAATGCTAGAGCAGGTGGAAACAAGGTTCAGTCTGGTTGCACAGTGCCCTCAGCAAACAGCTTCATATGTGTTTGAGGAAGGGTACCATACTATGCCCTACACAAGCTTTGGTGGGTGAACTTAAGTCGTTTTCAACGCCGCTTATCATGGTAATTACGCTAAGCCGTAGGAAATTGTTTTCCATTGACCACGCGGAATTTCATGATGCAATTCCACGCTTTTATCGATGCAGCTATTCTCAATAATTTCATCAGATCGCACGTTACACTAAACATCACGTTTCTAGTTTCCCAACCAATCGAAAGACAGCTCTTGAAGCGAGGGCGTGCCGTATGTCACATAACTTCAAGGCGATCCACGCTCTAAAGCTTGTATTTGAAGACCTGAAAGGCTAGACTTTCATCACAAAAGCACTTTGAACGACTGGGTGAAGGGAAGCGGCCAAAAAGAAAAATCCCGATTGACCTGAACGTAAAAGAAGATCTTCAAAAGACAAAGACTGCTGCAGAAATGAAAGGAGTTACTCAACGCCGTCGTATCGTGAACTACATCGAGTATTATATGGACGAATATGATTATTATAATTTCGATCGTATGGCTACAAATCTGAGTCACTCCCGAAAGGGAAGATCGAAGAAGGAAGCCAGTTTGAATACAAACAGACCAAACCCGGCAGGCCACGAGAGAAAATTGTTGACGAAACTACAAAATACGGAGAGGAAGAAGAAAGAGAGTAACCTTAGAACTTCTGCAAAGTGAAGCGTCGCCGATTTTGGAAAAAAATGCCGTCATTTCGACTGAAACTATTAAACCACTGCTCGATCAAAGTCAGTGTTTCAAATTGAACTACTGTAGCTTGAACTGGAATACACGTCGCGTTCTGATGTTTTGTAAGCACTGTTTACTACTCTGCGCATGTTTTATGGTTAGGTTTGTTGACACAAAGTCGTAATTCAGTTGGAAATTTAACTCATTAAAATTTTAGCTAACCAAACAGCTAAATACTACAATTCCAGAAAAATGGAAGTTTGTATTACTGAGGATAAATAAACGCTGGATCATGTAACGCCAATTAAGTTTCTACGTTTGTAATTGCTGTAGTCCGGCTTGTTTTTTGTTATGAAGAAAGAATTGAACAGGTACCTGTTGGGAACACGTTTTGTTACACTGTGTTATGAGAAATTACTATCAAAATAAAATAAACAACCATTAAACGATAACTTGTAGTGGTCCATGAGAGCACGAAACTCTAGCCTCGTTGGCTGTTAAAACCCATTGTCTCAATCGATCGTAGACAAGTATCTAGAGCTGGGAGACTAGAAGTTTAAAAGCCAGAATCGAAACGGTATTATACAATAAATCCTGATTGAAATTGTCACTTTAGAATTTGTACACAATTGACTTTGCGTGTTTTTATTCTTAACTTCATTCCTGGTGGTTTGAATAGGATAACACTTTGCGATTTAGCATTAGTGGCACTTGTGAATTGTTAATCCTACACGGTTTCAAATATTGCTTTCTACCTAATTGTCTAACGATGGGTTTTTGTTCTCTGACGTGTCTCAAGAGTGCTCATGAGTGTAGGCGTAAATAGAAAGCTTTGAAAATCATCCTCTAAACAAAACAAGTCAAGACGCGTCTTTAAAGGCTGGCGTCAGTACACTCCCTAAAAGAGGAGGTTCCTTTTTGTAGACTTGGTTTTGCTTTGCACGGTTTTTTAAATCTTCCAGAGCAGTTTGTTTGTTTGCTTCTCATTTGAAATGTAAGTTCGTTTGATCGAGTTGCTTCCTCGCCTGCAGTTTTCTTTCTCATGATCATGTGCGCTACTGGTGGACCTGTTACTCGGCTCGGGTAGGAAAATATAACATTCACTTGGTTTATTTAGATAGCGCATAGAATTGCTAATGAAATTGGATTAACATTGTTAACATTCAGTCATCCGAAATCTAACCCAGACAATCATTTTATTGAAAGTAAGATGGACAACATCACAAAATCTCTTTGACATTCAACTCGAAATAAATTCACTTTGACCTAACACAACATTAAAATGAGTTCTAAACCTGTAAATTGTCGGCTTTTCAAACTGAAGCGACTTATCACAGACTAAAATATACCTTCATCTTTAAGTGGCTAAGGAAAAATCATCCCCTGAGTACCCTGTGTAAGGGAAGATTGCAAAAAAACAACAAATTGTTAATTGTTCATTTCTTCGCTCATAAAAAATTGTAACTTTTCCGGCTTGAGAACCATTGTATACTTTAACTTCCACGATCTAATAGACACTTATCATCTCTACCTGCCGAGCATTCATTGTACGTGAGGTTTTCTGGTGTTATTAATAACAGCTTCCATTTAGCACGAAAAAATATTTTTCTGCGGAAAATTGTCTGACGATTTAACACTTTTCCAAGAGGAAAAGTAGAGGAAATAAGCACGCCTTTTGGAAGCCAAATGGAGGTTATCGTATCTATGATCCATCAAGTATTTATTTGCGGCGCGCGGAACAAGACGATTACCACTGTTGATTCTAGAGCGGCTTTTTTTACCAAATAAGTCTATTGTTCATCACCTCTGGGAATTAAAGGGCTAAAGCACCATGAAAAGGAAGACGAGTGCCACGAAAGAAACAGCTAAAGTGCAGAAGAATAACGTTCTCTGCCACTGAAACTCGCACTTCTTAAAATCCTCATTCGGCCAATAGCCCCTCAAGCAATCTACGCATGTGTAATCATCCTTCACGATTTGATTGTAGTGGCACGTTGCACACGACCAGCAACACTCGTTATCGTTCTTTAAGACTCGAATGTGACCTGGAGGGCACTGGTTACCACAGGAGGATTTTGGCACTGTTTGGTTCCGCCACTTGATTCTAAAGCCGTTAATATACCATGAACTGTCCCAAGTACCAACAGTAACATGATTTTTGACAGATCCATTCGACTTCACAGAGATCAAAGAAAAAATATTTTCCTTCATATGCTGCTGACCCGAAAAACGTTTCCAGTTCTGACTATAGAAAACGTCTAGTACGTGTCCCAGACTCCTCGAAAACACTACTCGGTCGAGCTGCATCGTGGTGCGGCCGATGATGGCGTGGGATGCCTTTTCGTACGCATGCGCAAGCAAATAAATACTATTCATAGATGCTTGAATTTCTTCCTTTCTTCGTTTAGAAGGTGAGTCAGCTGTCCCAATGTTTGAGCAGCTGCTTTGATCAACGGGCATTTGAATGATGCTGTTGAACTCGATTGTATCGCCTTTGTTTTCGAAGTAGTCCTTGAATCCTTCCATGAAAGGAAAGTGAGGGACAATAACAAAATTGTCATCTTCTGAGTTACCCTCAAAGCAGTGTACGTCTCTTTGGTTGGTTACGATCCATGTGAATTGTGAAGTTGGTTTCACAATTTTAACAGCTGTTGAGTAAAATAAAGGGTAAAACAAATTGTCAATTCTCAATAATGCACCTTGTAGCAAAAAATCAGGGACGGGAATATATTCAAGTCGAAGTCATTTACTACGACGAACGAGTGCTGTCGAATGACGTTGTCAGTTGACAGAAATCAAAATTCGGCGCTCGAGTGAAACTACTGAGCTTCAAATCGACCGATTTTAGTTTTGTTGTTGTTGTTGTTATTACTTTTTTTTTTTTTTCAATATTTCCCTTTTGCCCTTAGGGAGTGTTTATTAAGCACAGACATTGCAAAACTTGTTTTTTTCTCAATTATTAAAATACCCCGTAATAGACAAAAGATATTGTACATCGCCACCGATTATCGAGTGAGCCGTCCGCTAGGAGTGTCGGATCAGTCTCCCTCCGAATCTTGCTCCACGCTATTTTATAAGTTGTGAGTGACTGAGTTGGAAATCGGAATGATCTGAAAACTTTCCCGGTACCTGTTGAAAGGCAATTAATCTTGGCTGTTGGAATCCTTACAAGATGCAAAAAAAAAAAATACTGAATTCATTATATTTAGTCAATAATGCATGTCTTCTGCCCAAACACTTACTTTGCAATATTTTTTTCGTTTCTCTGTCGTCTGTAAATAAAATAACTATGGTGGACGCTGGCTCAGATAATAGTTTCACAATTGTCTGCTCATACGATACAGAGTGTGTTCCCTCGCCACTAAGCAAAACCTTCACCGCAACGCAAAGCTTTTCGATGTTGGATATGCGCAAAAATATTTCAAAGTCATCCTGATGTTCAGTTGAATAAACGACAGACACAGCACTCCATGTAAAATATTTGACAAGATCTGCAAGCGCACGAGCCTTGTAATATCCAATGGACACTGATTGTAAAATATCACCTGGACTGTCAGGCGTATTGTTGTCTTTACCAAAGATAATTTGCGGTACCTTGAACAGTCCTAGGAGAGTCGAAGCATCCTTGTTCTTAGAGGAAGATATAACACCCAAAACCGGCTTTAAATCGTCGCCACCATCTAACTTCTTCTTGTATGTATATGCAAGGTCGAGGGCTTGTTCTAAAGCTATTTGTTCATCATTACAAGTGTCGCACACAGTAAGTGTCAAAGATGCATTAAAACGCCGTGCGTCCCACTTTCTGTTCACGTCTTCCACTGCGTATTGCAGAGCATGCAGCCATAAAAACCCTTCTTGGCGCTTTGGAGATCCGCAAATTCCACGTTTGTCTCTTGAGTGGAGAGGCAAAAGAGCGCCGAACGCGATGTCATGGTTTACAGCTTGATGATAACTTGTAAAATATTGACTTTCACCTACTGAAACGGCGACCTGCAACTGAAATTGTGTAACAAAACTTAAAGCAATTAAAAGTACCAGCAGCCACCTTTTCATGGCGATGCTGATAACATTTTGACGTTTCTCTCTTTTTGGGTTTTCTATTTGTAGCAAGCCGACATGTTTTGCTAAATTTTTTTGGCTTCTTTAGTAAACATCAATATATAAATGATGGGTGATTATATTTCAAAAAGGTCCACCAATTAAACAGCTTTCTAAATTGTTGACTTTGGCATAACGCCCAGGAGCAGGTACCACAGTTTAACTCAGATGTAAATGATGTCTTCGTTCGTCATTCGCTCCTCGTGCTTCACTTTTTTGGGACCTCTCTAAACCTTTGGACGCCCTCGCGTGCTAATCAAAGTCTCCTTTATTTTTTCATCTCTTTGCCTTTTTCATACCATCTAATTAGCACATAAGGACTTCGCATGCACGCGGAGGGGCAAACCTTGGAAAAATTTCATGATCAAAAAATTTCGGTTTTTGAGCGCTCATACAATATGCTTAACATGATAAAAACCTAACCTGAGTTAGACACTGTGGTTACAGTGTATTAGGGGGTAAGAGTACTAGATGGTAAATTTTAAGCTTGGTCGCGGAATAAAGACGTTTAACATCTGACAAATGATTAATTTCTAGCCCACGTCCCACGCTCGTGACACACGTTAAGCATCGGCTCATTCAAACAAAGGAAACTGTTTTAAGTGGGAAAAGAAAGAGAACACAAGCAAATTGCCTGAGGTGCGGAGGAAGGCGTGCGACGAAGTCGCGACTGGTTAAAGTCTTACTTCCGATTGGTTGAGAGGAAAGTGCATGATTTCTAGTCCAATCACAAAGCGAGCTGAAGGACACTGCCGACTTAGTTTGGAATTTCTTTTAATATTCCACTGAAATTTGCTCTAACGCAGTTTGCTTCATCCTCCATTCCTCAACGTGTTGTCCTCGTACGTGTCTTTATTCCGAAACTGGCCGTGCGCAGGTTGCGAGCAGCAGTCAACATTGATAACAACGTTAACGATGGTATTTCAGCCGTAAAGAAGGCAATAAATTCGAGAGCTGATAACTTACCATCGATAAATTGTATATTAGATTCGGTGGAGATGTGCTGTCAACAAACAACTGCAATTTTGCAAATACTTCTTGATTTTATTCAAAGGCATTGAACCGCCATGGGCCCTACACATGTAGTTAGACTGATTTTGCAGGGGCAATTGTTAACAAAAGATCCAAGTCTGAGGGGGAAATCCACCTAAGGGGGAAATCCAGCGACGGCCTAAACACCATATTTGTGATCTTTGCGCTCTCTCAAACTAACTTGAATTTACAGAGTATTCAAACTCTCTCCATCTAATCTTCAAGTTAGAGCCAGTTCATTTTTAGAATAACCAAAACGTTTTAGATATTACCATTCGCTTTCGATATGGCTTTATCAAACCGATAATTACGCTGAATACACAGACAGCCACCTGTAATTTATAATTATCTTTCTCTGGTTCTACCCTCTACATTGCAAATTAGTCATTCCCTGTAAGGTAGAATTGAGAATTAACCCCAATTGTTACTCCGACGAATAGCCCGCTGAAAAGTGATTGCAAAGAAACTAAAAAGTGATACATGACGCAATCCATTTTTTTTCCGCGGTTGCCGACTCGACATAACCATCATAATATTCTCATCGCACGCCTAAAAATTGTATGCCAGAGATGGAACGTGTTACGCTTGTTATCTTAAGCTTGACAGTATCTGTGTTTCCTAAATAAGAACGGGATCGTGAAATTATATTGGCTAGAGTGGCATGACAGATCGAAAGGCCATTCTGTCACACTACAACACCATGACGATTCTCCTTATCCGCTGAAGTAAGGCCTATATTACTGAGTGATTTGATAACTGGTGTGAATATCCACGCCAGTGAGTTTCCTCGTTGCCACAGCAACAGGCTTGCGTACTCTAAGAGGCGTGATTGGCATGTCATGTTCACGTGATACTTCTAGAAACGAGCGACAAATTTTCTCATAATCCTCGAAGTTAACTTGGTTAGGCCGTAGAGTGGGATCAACCCCTGTCCTCTCTAATAGCTCGTCCGATAATTCTGGCTTTGTGTGGAACAGTGTTCTAAGGAATACAACAAAGGTTTTTTTGTGTTAGTAAATGTATCGTGTCAAAGGGAGAAAGCGGGTATAGCAAAGAGAAAAAAAAAATTATGTCTTCAGAATTAAAACGAATGTCAAACGATCCAAACATCAGCTTTTGAATAAAATGGCGCGAATTTTTCTGAACCCATCATGGAGTGAAGAAAAACCACACCAGAGCAGTCCTGCATTACTTTTAACACTCAATTGAAATCCTTCAAGAGATTAATTAAGCCTTTAACACCCAAGATCTGATTGTTAATTTTCCCCTTCAGCTACGACGCATTTCCTTGTAAATTAGTCACAAGAATTTGGTGTTAGATCAAAACAGAAACTTCAACATGATAAATTTGAGTATTCTCATTACCTGTTTGCTGGATCATGTATGGAATGTGCATGGAGAAGTTACGTGTCAATCACTTCTTGGATTTAAAGGGCTAAAGACTGACACAGTCTTAAAATCTAGATCGATCTGTACTCTACACTTGATTCTCTTCGTTCTCCTTCCTAAACAACGTTTGGTTTCATGTACACTTACTTGTCATATACCGTCAAATGAATTACAAAATGAGTATTAATTATGCTCTATATTACCGTAACGAATTTCTGATGGTTTTTCGTCTTTCTGAGAATATTGCTTTCACTACTTGCTCCACAACAACGAAAGGAGCTTCAATAAGGGGTGTGACTCGTGGTACAAAATGTAACAACATGGCATCAACCTAAAAGGAAATATGAACACAACAGATCCTCCCTCAAAATGACAACCACGATTGAAAATCTATAATTTCTTTACATTCCTAGAAAAAAAACACTTTAAAGTGAGGTGTCTTTACCTGGGCGTATGTTTAAAATAGTGCTTTTCTATGCTACAAAGCGTTCTGTGTTTCTCAAAAGCTTTCAAAAGACAGATGCAATTATTTTAATGAAGAGAAATTAAGAAACGGTTCTTGTGCTGACTCTTAATCGGTAGAGAAAAAAAACACTACATTTTCCTTGTTCCTGTTTTGTGACTCATGGTGAAACAAGCCAGCTGCCACTTCATTACCGTTACCTTTACCTCCCGCTACACGTCCTGATTTAATAATTTAATGTACATTCTACATACCTTTGGTTCTGGTACAAATATTTTGCGCGGTATCAAGTATTTCTTGTTGACTTCACACAGATACTGTGTCATAATGGAAAGGCGTGTGCATTCCTTATCTCCAGGAGGAGCTTGGATATTCTAAATAAAAAAAAAA